AAGTAGTCCATGACAAAAACACTCATTATACTAGAAACAAAGGAAATTTCCCCAAACCTGTGGGCCTGAAAAATCACAAGCCAACATAAAACTCAGTGGTGAAACAGTTTTCTAAGATCAAGAATATACATTTTTTATAATGCAGAAGCCAACTAATCTTGACTAGAACACTGACACAGAAGGCTTAACTTGCAGCAGCAGCTCAGTAAACTCTTAGACAGGACTTAATGTCCCCATGGTGAGATACAACAATTTTCACACACACTCTTTTCTTGAAGTATTTTTGATCCTTCTATTACCTACTTAACAGAAAATAAACTATTGTGGGCCTACTATGGGAACAGGCTTGAGGGGTGGTTGAGAAAATGGAGACAATGGTGGAGAGAAGGTAACGGTGGTGGTGGACTGGTGGTGGAATACTGAATGCCTGTCACAAATCATCAGAAACAACTTTGTAGACCACAGTATTTAAATACAGTGAGGAGAAGGGAGAAAAAAATTGCACTTTTTGCTACTTTTACTGAACACAGTATTGAAAAATACAATCAGAAAGCAATAAGACTTGATCTTATGCATAAAAAAATCCTAGATATATATATAAAAAGACAAAGTCCTCCAATACCCCCCGCTTCACCAAATCCAGACATACCCAAACCTACTGCTAATCAGGACAAAAGATGTAAAATAAACACCCAAAAATAACTGCATTCCCATGTACTAGGAATGAACACTTACACTAAAGGGAAATGAAGAAATGGAATGAAGGAAACTTCATTCATATTCGCATGAAAAATAGTTAAATATTCATAGATAAAATCAACCGAGGGGCTGGAACAACAGCACAGCGGGTAGGGCGTTTGCCTTGCACGAGGCCGGCTGACCCGGGTTCAATTCCCAGCATCCCAGATGGTCCCCTGAGCACCGCCAGGGGTAATTCCTGAGTGCAGGGCCAGGAGTAACCCCTACGCATCGCCGGGTGGACCCAAAAAGCAAAAAAAAAAAAAAAAAAAAAAAACCTGAGGCAAAACACCTATAATGCTGAAAAATGGAATGAATCACTGAAATAAATGAAAGATGGAAAAAATAATAATGACATACATGTTCATAGATGGGACTTTATTGGCTTTTTGTTTTTGAGCTAAACCTAGATGTGCTCGGGGCTTACTTCTGGCTCTGTGCTCAGAGATCACTCCTGGCAGGACACAGGAATCAAAACCAGGTTAGTCATACGCAAGCCCTGTGCTAAAATGCCAATTGTATTCAAAGTCCTCCATCCCAGACTCATTTATTTCCTCCCTCCCTCCCTTCCTGGGTCACACCCAGCAATGCTCAGGGGTTACTCCTGGCTCTGCACTCAGGAATTACTTCTGGAGGTGCTTGGGAGACCCTATGGGATGCTGGGGATTGAACCCGGTTCGGCCCAGTGAAAGGCAAATGTCCGACCTGCTGTACTGTTGCTCCAGCCCCCCAACTTTAATTCTAAAATGGCAATTCTACTCAAAATCCTAATAGCATTTTATTTCATAAGAACAGGAAAAAACGCCAACACAAAAGGCATAAAATTTCAAGTAATTCTGAATAACCAACACAGTATTGAAAGTGAAAAAAGTTAAGAGAGCTCACACCTTCAATTTCGAACTTACTATAGAGCTACAGTAACTGCTTTATTATTGACACAGAGACCCATACAACCATGGAATAGAATAGAGATATCAGAAATAAGCTTTTGCATACCCTGTCAGTTATTATTTAGCAAGGGTACCGTGAGTACTGGTAGGGAGTCAGGGAGACAGCTCAAAGAGTCAGAGCAATGCTCTGCATGGTATAGCCCCAGGTCATCTCTGTACTACAAGGTGTCCCATTTGTCCCTGTCCCCCCTCCCTCTCCCCCACAAAACACAGTTGCGAGTGACACACCCTCTCCAACCCCAGCACTGAGTCGAGAAGTCCTAGAGTGCTGACAAAGTGTGGTCTTGAAAATAAATACACTGATACTGACTGAATTTGGAGCTCTACCTTATACTGTCTCAAAGAAAAATTAACTCAGGGCCAATGGCTGAAAAAGCTGAGTGTGTGCTTCGCAGGCAGGAGGCTCAGATCCTGGGCACCACCAGGAGAGATCCTGAGCATAGAACTAGGAGTAGCCCCTGAACACTGGACTATGTCCAAGATTTATCTCCAACAGAGGCCAGAGAGCTAGCTTAAGGATTAAGCACAGGGTTTGAACCCTGTCATCACATACAGTCCTCTGAACACTGCAAGGAATGATCCCTGGGCATAGAACCAGCGAGGACCAGTGAGTTTGCCCCCATGTCTCAACTCTAGAAAGAAAACAAAGCAACAACCCCCACTGGAAATAAATATTGGTGACAGCTGCACAATCTGCCAGGAGTGATTCCTGAGGACAGAGTCAGGAGAATGTCCTAAGCACAGCCTGGTGCGGCCTCCAAAGCAAAACTAAATTCTTCAACTGAAAATTTACAATAGAGGAGGGTGGGAGGGATATTGAGATCACTGGTGGTAGAGAATGGGCACTGGTGGAGGGATGGGTACCCGATCATTGTATGACTGAAACGCAAACACGAAAGTCTGTAAGTATGGAACAGTACCTCAAGGTGATTCACTAATAAAAAACAAACAAAAAAAATTTACAGTAGAAATATTTAAAAATACATACTTTAGATATCATATATCTATAATGATCAATATGACACAAAGATAAAAATGTTCTCAGTTATAAATACAGGATGAAACACTGTCTCTTAATGAGGGACAGTACAGCAGGGAAAGCACTTGCTTAGCACACAGCCAACCCAGGTTTGATCCCCAGCACCCTGTTATGGTCCCCTGAGCCCTGCCAGGAACGAGTCCTACGCACAGAGTGAGGAACAAGTACTAGTTGAGCACTGTCAGGTGTGGCCCCCAAACCAGGAAAAAATAAAAGTGAAAAATATACACACTTCAAACACACAAATTAGGACCTTAGAGCAACTTGATTAATCCACAGTCTAAGAGCTAGTTGCTGACAAAAGCATTCAAGGCTACAATACAAGTATTCTGGCTTCTGTCTATTTCTCTAACAGACGTCAGGGATTTGGCTCAGGAGGAGAATGCTGTTCTGGCTTCTGTGAATCCCTGAGCACAAATATCACAAAAAAATCCTCCCTCTCGCCCTCGCCCCAAATCAACAAAAAACCTCTCAACTGACCACAAAGATCAAGTGTGTGTGTGTGTGTGGGGGGGGGGGGCCGCAGGGGGAGGGAATGGAACAATAATAATAATAATGAAAACCCCACTAATTATAAAATTTAAGAGACCAGGGAGAGTTCAAAGAGCTGAGTACATGCTTTGCGTGCCAGGGACTGGGGCTCAATCCTCAGACCTACATGGTTTCTCTGACACTAAGTACATACAGTTCTCCAGAGCACCAAGCACAGCTATGACTGACCAAGTACAGAGCTTGGAGAAACCCCTGAAACACCATCACGTGAGGCCACAAAACAAAACAAAAAAATCAAAAAGCTTGAGATCTCAACTAAACAGATAGCAAAATATATCATAACAAAATGACTTTAAAAAAAATTTTTTTGGCCACACCTGGCTGTGCTCAGGGATTCCTCCTGGAGATCACAGGTGATGCTGGGGACTAAACCTGGGTCAGGCAAGCACCTTACCTGATGGACTATGTCTCCAGCCATCTTTTGAACTGATACTGCTATTAGTTCAGGTCTAAGCACTTTCTATTAAGGCACTTAATCCTTAGATGAACTTAATAAGGCAGGTATTCTTCGTTTTCTCTATTTTACTATTAAAGGAAATACTCTAAGAGTTGCTCAATTTCACCCTAGTAAGTGGAAGAACCAGTATAACCGAAGCTTAGTTTTATTAAGAGGTTAAGTGTCAAGCATCATCGTAACAACTCGACATAAATCTTTTTAGTGCTATGTAACAAGTGGTATTTTTACTTTTCACATGACGTAAAACCTACCAACTGTTGTATTTGCTTTTCAATTCACCCTATCATTTCCTTTCCGTGCTTTGAGTACATAAAGATAATGTAATTGCTCAAAAGTTTTAGGTCGTGGATAATCTCAAAATTTGCTTAATAAGGCAACTACCCTGCCCCTTGTGCTAGTTCTCCAGCCCCAAATTTGAAACTACTTTGATGATAAGTACAGTACAGGGACCTATCCTTGCTTTCCTTGGGGAGAGAGAGGGTTTGGGTCACACCAGTGGTGCTTGGGATCAAACCCAGGTCAGTCACGTGCAAGGCAAAGACCCTCCCCACTATACTATTCACACAGGCTCCCCCCCTTTTTTTTATTATGAATTTTAGAATGTTTGAGTACCAACAAAGTAACAAAACTTAAAACATACTGGCTGCGTTTAATTCGTTTGGGTGTGTGGTAAGGGGTGGGGGGTGGTAACTGAAGTTTTGCACTACATTATTTGTGCACACTATTCAGTAATTAAAATACCTTTAGGAGCTGGAGCGATAGTATTAGAGTATTAGAGTATTCAGCACAAGTACTGAAATTTTTAACTTTGTTACTAAAAAATTTTCCCACTGATCATTTTGAGAATTGGGATTGACAAAACATTAATCAATACCTAACTACAACTTTATGCTACTGTTATAGCTGTGCCTTTAGAAAAAAAATGCTGTATGAAAAAGATCAATTATTTTATTTAATTTTTTCTTTATGGGTCACATCCAGCCTTGCTCGGGGCTTACTCCTGCCTCTGCACTCAGGAATCATTCAGGTGGTGCTCAAGGGACCATATGGGATGCCAGAGATTGAATCTGAGTAATCGCATGCAAGGCAAGCACCCTACCCACTGTACTATCTCTCTTGCTCCAGATCAACTATTTTAAACACATCATATGAAACAGATAATTCTTTAGAATTATAGGCTTTTAAAAAATGTCACTTTTTTGAAATACTAAAACAGAAAAATAAGCTTATTTCACAGTGGCCTCTACTTATAAATATTTCTTACCAAGATTGGCTTGCCCTGAAATGTTTTAACTTCTTCTCTTAAGTATTTAAAAGCCTGTTAACAAAGCAGAAATATCTTTCATTAGCACTCACATTTGTTAAGGGCATAGCTCAAAGGGAGGTTCAAAATCAAATAAACTACCATTTCATTAAGGTCATTTTTATGCTAATAGATCTTGGTATTAGAAACTATCTTTAAACATGGAATGAAATTTAAGAGCTCAGCTATAGTTGACATTTACAGAGGAAAAGGTAGCTATTACGGATTTCTGCAGATAAGTAGCACAAGAATCAAAACAGACCCAAATATCTACTTAAAAATGGTCAAAATGAACTCCTTCTACCCTCACCTGCCCAGTCCTGAGCTGAGAACCCAATTCAATCTCGGGTTGAATTGGAATCCTGGCCTAATTTCAGTACAAACATTTCATGATTAAAAAAAAAATTATATGCCAGAGAGATAGCACAAACACCACCTGGAATGATTCCTGAGTGCAGAGCCAGGAGTAACTCTTGAACATTGTACCATCCCCACCCCACCCCCCACCCCCAATTCAATTGGACTGCATTCGAAGATTTAAAAAAAAAAGGAAAAATATTTTTAAAAAATCTGAATGTGCCTACTAAACAATTTGTTTCAAAGGGATAATTATTATCTTTATGTAGAAAATGATACCAATGAAAAATAAAAAATTTGGGGGCCGGAGCGATAGCACAGTGGGTAGGGCATTTACCTTGCATGCAGCTGACCTGAGTTCAATCCCCGGCATTCCCATATGGTCACCCAAGCACCGCCAGGAGCAATTCCTGAGTGCAGAGCCAGGACTAACCCCTGAGCATCGCTGGGTGTAACCCAAAAAAGCAAAAAAAAAAAAAAAAGGATAAAAAATTTGGCTGGGGAGATGGCTCAAAGGGCTAAATAAAGCATACACCGTGGCAGGTGAAGACCTCCTGATTCCCAGTATGGCACAGTTCCCCTGGCACTAGAGGATCCCAATAAAACCAGGTCAACTACTAGGACCAATTCCTAGACCTCATAGGCACTGTCTGGAAGACCCCTGGCTCCCCTTCTCCAAGTAAAAACAAAAAGAGTAAAAGGTTTTAGGAGATGGTAAAAAAGAAAAAAAAAAACAATAAGCAACAGTGAAACTGGAAGATAGTACAGGAGTTGGATGCATTTTAGGCATGCATCTGACTGGGCTTCAAATCCTAGAGCCATCAGTCTTGCAAGCACTGGTGGATGTAGCACTGGAGGCCCCCAACACTATGGTAGCCTGGGAAATTCCCGGTAGTAATGGCCCACACAACCCAGCAGAACCACTGGTCGGCTGGCAAAAAATTCCCAATAGTCCCCTCATCCCCCACAGCTTCCTGTGCATTGCCTAAGAGGTTCCCCCACTAAAGCAAAATGGAAAAGTAAGTAAGATGCTCAATCGTCTTCACAAAAGTAACTGCAGGGATCAGTGGCGGAATAAATAGCAGTACTCCTACATTAAAAAAAAAATAAAGTAACTGCAGGGGCCAGAGCAATAGTACAGTGGATTGGGCATGTGCCTTGATGAAGCAGACCTGGCTTCGACCCCCAGAATCCCATATGGTTCCCTGAGCCCAGACAGGAGTAAGCCCTGAGCACCACTGGGCACGACCCAAAAATAACAAAAAAAAGTTACTGTAGGCACACATTTTCTCAACTAAAACATACCACTATTAAGCTGCTACGTAGCTCAGTGACAAGGCACCTACCATACATCTGAGGCCCTGGATTTGATCCCTCAATTGCAACAAAGAAAAATAACAATAACCCCTCCCTTACAAAATATACTATTACTTTTTATCACGACTACTTGAAACATAAAAAAACAAACAAAAATCCTTCTACTCACCTGTTGTGCATCTGTATCTGACTGGAAAGTGATATACCAGTTGCTATTGTGGGCAAACTCACAACTTATTACCTTAGGACAGTTTTCACTTTTAAACAAAGCTTTTACTTCCTGAAAAAGAAAATCTTTGTTTAAGTCTAGAAAATGCATAAGCATCAAGCATATTTTTCTCTTTACGTCTTCCAGACCTTTCTTTTATCTTTATCTGTCAATTGTTTGTACTTTCTCCCCATTTTTCTAGTAAGCATAGATCATGCTCTCAAGCAAATCACTTATTGTGTAGATTTTGTGTATGATTTAGGGAAGAAACTGTGTTTTGTAACAGGCAAAACTGGAGTGACTCCTGACAGGTATAACTACTGAGAGTTGAGAGACAAGCCCCTAAAACAAAAGAAAACCAACCCCCACAACAACAAAATTTCTTCAATTGTTATGCTCCCCCCTCAAGTATTCAATCCATTAGCATTTTCTATGTGCTCAAGTATTTTCATGTAACTTTCACTCAATCCAGGAAGTTTATCTACAATAGATTCATAGCTTAAAAACTGTAAAAAAAAAAACTCTAAAAAAATTATATAACTGAAAAGTAAAAATATGATCACTAAATCTCAGAACTATGTTAATAGTTAATAGTTTAAAAAAAGTTTATAAGAAAGAAAGAAAGAAAGAAAGAAAACAACTGGAAGTGAACACTGGGCATCCCTAAAAAATCTAAATAAGGAAACACCTACTGAAAATGAATCTGAAACAACTGTGTTTAATATTTCATTATCTACATTATAGAAACGGTGAATCAGATAGCTTAAACCCAGTGTTCCTCAACTTTTTCCAACTGCAGCCTCTTCTGACCTTATTTCCTTCCTTTTGCACTACTGGCTAGCCCCTATTCTCAAACTGTGGATGCCCACATTTCCGTGCTTTTCATCTGATTCCCTAAGGAATATTCTAGGAGCATCATGGGGAAACCAGTAATTTCCAAAGAGCTAAAGAATCTAAGTTACACTGTCCTACAGAATATAAAAATGTAACTTATTTTTTAGTCGCAATTGATAATAAACTGAGCCAGGGATATGGGATATGGTTCAATGCTAAAGTCCATGCACTGAATTCATGAACCCTGGTTTAATACTATTATTTAGGGGGGTGGGGGGGGCGTGGAGACAGCGTGGAGACAGGGACAACAACAACAAAAGCTTTAGGACATTACAAATAGAAAATCAATTCACAGGCAAAATAAAAATGTGAGCTACGTGCTCAACAGTGTAGCTCATAGCTTCAAGTGTCAGTGACATTCTTTTCTAATTTCTCTCACAATTTCTCAATCTAGGGAATTTTTAATTTGAAACAAATACTGAATTAGCACTAATGTGGCAATTCTGTTACATGGCAAGGGTGAAAAAATTATTTAAAAAATGGCAAGTCTGGAGCTGGAGCCAACAGTATAGTGGGTTGGGCATTCCACATGCTCCCCCAACCCTGACCAGGAGCAAGCTGGGTGTGGTCCCCAAACCAACAAAAACCCAAACTAGAAAAAAAAGGGCAAGTCTGTTATATGTTAGTCTGCCCCATCTTATTATCTTATTATCTTTAACATGGCACTCTTTAACTTCATTACCAATAAATTCTGTGATATAGTGGTAATGAAGTATGGGTAGCAGAATCAGAGAAATCAAGTCAAAACCAAATTCTGACATTTAATGGCTGAAATGTATCTAAAGCATGTCAACCTAATATTGTTATTTTATGCATAAACAGATAATAAAAACTTTGCATTATAACATTAACAAGTCCATCCTTTTTTTTTAAATGTAGGAGTACTGCTACTTATTCAGCCATTGATCAGGCTGATTGAATTGGGCATGAACTCCACAAGTCTAACCTTTTAAGAACACAGAATTGTATTTCTTATCTTTCATGCTTCTAGCATTTCAGAATTTTGTACTTAACCTATTTACAATAATTGATAGGAGGGAACTAATTTGCTATTTTGCTCATTTACTACTAACAGTTTAAACAGTAATTTAGTTTGAACAACACCTAACAACTTACCTCTACTGGAGTTGTTTCAGGAATCTCCCTAAGAATAACAATACAACGTTTATGACTCGGTCTTACTTTCTCGCCTTTCTCATCAACTTGTACCATAGGAGAGGCTGAAATTTAAAGAAAGATTTTATTTAAAAATGATATTTAAAAATGATAAAGAAAACAGCAATGTCATTAAATACTACTCGTTTCTATTTTCAACAGATTTTAATTCCTGTTGCGTGAACGTTCTGGAGCGACAGCACAGCGTTAGGGCGTTTGCCTCGGGCACAGCCAGCCTGGCCAAGCCGGGTTCGATTCCTCCCTTCTCGGAGAGCCCGGCAACCTACCGAGAGTATCTCGCCTGCACGGCAAAGCCTGGCAAGCTACCTATGACATATTCAACATGCCAAACACAGTAACAAGTCTCAAAATAAAGACGTTATTGGGCCCACTCGAGCAAACCGAAAAACGGGAGGACAGTGTTTGTTGGTTTTGAACATTTGTTCCGTCTACATGGGCTCACCCTGAGAGCTTCGTCCAGCCCCAACAAATTTCCTAAAAACTTTAAGTGAAAAAGATTGGAGGTGTGCGTCACCTTTAAGCAGAGAATCTCTCTGGTGATATTTTGAGATATGGGCTGGAGCAATAGCAGGGCGGGAAGGGCACCTGCTCTGCACACGGCCAACTCAGGTTCAATCCCCAGCATCCCAGCTGGTCCCCTGAGCCTCGCTGAGAGTAGTAATTCCTGACCGCAGAGCCAGAGATTACCCCTGAGCACCGGAGGGTGAAGTCCAAAAACCAAAAACACTTGAGACTGATATGCAAAGAACGCTGTCATTTGTAATTCTTTGAACAAGCATCACAATACCTACTTTGAGAAGAAGCCTGCAGGGAGCACTTACTATTTAAATCTAATTAAATTTTCTTATCTATAAAATAAATAAAGTCTTTGTTTTAATTGACAATAAAAACCAATATATGAGTGTACATGGGGCCGGAGCAGTACTACAGCGGGTAGGGAGGCTGACCCAGGTTCAATTCCCGGGCATCCCATATAGCAACCCATATGGTCTCCTGAGCACTGCCAGGAGTGATTCCTGAGCAGAGAGCCAGGAGTAACCCCTGAGCATTGCCAGATGTGACCCAAAAAATTAAAAAAAAAAAAAAAAACCCAAAAAACGAAAAACCAAATCAATGAGTGTATGTGTATTAACCATACATTGCTCCAAGATATGAAATGCTCTGATGTATTTAAAAAAAAATTCTTGGGCTGAAAATTGGAGTTTAGGAACAGCTCTTGAGCACCACTGGATGTGGCCCAACTGCCACCTCAGCCCTAAAATGAAATTCTAAAGCGTAATTAAAAAACATAAGCAGCACTTAAGCAAAATATTACAAACAACAATTTTCCATTGATTTTAACAAACTTTTACAATGGCATAAAACCAACTTGTAGGTGTTTATTTTGAGGAAATATTAAAAGAAAACAGTACCATAAAGACAACTTAATTCTAGTTCCTTCAGACACATAACAGAGAACCATGTCTCACTGAACAGGTAAGCATGAAGGTGAGAGAGAAGCTAAGACTTCAGGGATGAAATTTAAATTGGGATGAACTGAAAAACTAAGGTTCTGTAAAATCCTTAGTTTCAGCTCTCCAGCATTCTGAGAAACTGGGGGATTCTACCAGTTTCAGAGCAATTCTTTAAATACGGACAAGACTGGCTGATTTTAAGAAATGGTATCTCAACAATCCTCACACACTTTCCTCTAAGGAAATTTTTCGTATTATTTTTAGTGGATCATTCATAACAAGCAACACAAAATACATTATTTAGGTCCTGTTTTAGGGGCAGGCTTTGGGAGTCGGGGTGGAAACATTTGAAATACGGTGGTGGGTAGGTTTAATGGTGGTGGGACTGGAGTTGGAATATTAAATGTAACAAATCACAGTGAACAACTTTAAAAAAGAAATAAAACTATATAAATCAGATTTCATAAATATTTTTAACTCTGAGAATGAAAGTCCTCTACTTCACAAAAGCAAATTATTAGATGTGCTATGTTTACAAAAAACACAAGAAATCACCAAAATACAACACTAAAATATCTTACATTCTTCATATACACAACATATTGTGGGCCTATTAATCTGTGTAACACTTCAACTGCATGTGGGTATGAGATGTATAATGAACTATGATTTAAAATGTACTGTCTATTTAGATTCAAAGTTCAAAACAGTTTTAGTGAATGCAATAACAACAAACAGCTTCTTAATAGCAAGAAAACTGATTCGCTGATTATACTTAAGTAAGGAGATAGTAAGATGAATAAAGTTGCTGAGGATGAAAATTCAATACCATCAGGCGGTAAAAACTATTGAACCAATAACAAAAGATATAAATATTTTTAAAGTTCCTTTTATGATACTTAAACTGTAGAGAAAAAAATGGAACTATTAAGACAACTTTATTTTATATTAAAAAAATAACCCATCTGTTATCTTTCACATACATACATCTTAATACTTATTATCATACATCTTACTGTATTATTTACATACATCTTAATACTTCAATAATTAGATCCAGGTCTGTGGTCAGCTTTTTTATTTCTTCCATGTTCGCAACTGTCCAAATTGGGATGAACTGATCACTGTCCATTTGAGAGATCAAATAAAGATCCTTTGACAAATTTTCTCTGGGGGGAGGGAGGGGAGAAAAACACTTTTAGAAAATCAACAATTCCTAAAAGCCCATAAAAACAGATTTCTTATTCATTTTTTCTCCCAACAGGAGAAAAACAAAATCATATTATCAGCAATAGCTTGGTGGCCTGTGAAATACAAAACAGAGGGCAGGAGAGATAGCTCAAAGAGGGCTATCTCTCAAAAGGAGAGACAGCACATGCTCTGCATGCAAGAGGCCTGATCATGGTACCAAGTACCACCAGGCATGACACACTCAAACACATAGCCAAGAGTAGCCCCTGAGCAACAGTGGGAGTAACCAGCCCTCACCCCTACCCCCTCCTCCCCAATACATAATACAAGACATGCTCAATAACATCATCTGGAAACTTTAGAAGGCTGTAATTGATGGTACTCAGCAGGGTTTGCTGCTGGGGATCAAACCAAGGGGCTACCACATGAGCCATAGGCCCAACACTGCAGATTTTCTTTTTTTTTTTTAATGGTGCCAGGATCGAATGCAGATTTCACGCATGCAAAGCATACACTTCACCAATGAGTAACAGCCTATGCCCCTTGGAAATTTCTGAACCTGAAAACACACCTCATCCTACATATTAGTGGTTCTGAATAAAGAGATTCGTGGAATACTGAAATGCAAAGAGGATTAATACTGATTTTTTTCAAGTGTGTTTATTACATACTGTGTATTTCCATTGGGGGGTGTGTGTGTGTCCACGCCTGGCTTTGTGTTTGGAGACCATGCAGTGCCAGGGTTTGAACAGGGGTTGGCTGCATGAAGGAAGTGTTTTAACCCTTGTACTCTCTCTGGCCCTTATAAACATTTTATCACCGATAGAAAATACGCATATTGGGGAAATTTGTAACCCACGTGCTGAATCATAAAAAAAAATTTAATTTCCTTCCTCCTTCCTCCTTCCCCCTTCCCACCCACCCTCCCGCCTCCCCCTCTCTCGTACCCCACACGCTGAATCATGAAAAACTTTTAATTTCCTTCCTCCCTCCTGCCCCCTACACCCTGTAGTGGTGGTGCTGAAACACAGGGCTTATTCCTGGCTTTGGATCAATGATCCTGGATCAGTCCTGGCAGTGCTCAGAGGACCATATGTGGTGCTGGGTATCAAGTCAGGAGAGGCTGCACAAATCTGTCCAGCATCTTAAAAATTCTTATAAGGCCGGGGCTGGAGAGATAGTAAAGTGAGGAGGGCATTTGCCATGCATGGACATAATCCAGGTTTCATCCCCACTCGCGGCCGCGCGACATCTATTATCTCATTCTTACTTTGGACAACCTGGCAGGCTACTGAATGTAACCTGCCCACACGGCAGAGTCGAGCAAACTCCCCGTAGCGTACCCAATATGCCAAATACCAGTCACAATGATGGGTCTCATTCTCCTAACCCTGAAAGAGCCTTGAATATGGCACTTTTTAAAATCTCAGGACTAGGAAGAAGGAGACGTTACTGGTGCCTGCTCGAGGCAATTGACGAACAACAGGATGATTGTGATCATGATCGCCAGTATCCCCAAGCCCACCAGAAATGATTCCTGAGCATAGAACCAGGAGTAAGTCCTGAGCAACACCAGGTGTGGCCCAAACAAAAAATCTAAAAGGTTATTAAGCTGTTTAAAATTCAATTTAAGTAATCTTTTTTTTTGGTGCCCAAAGTGAATAGTAAGTGAGAAGGGCACTGGCCTTCCGCACAGGTGGCACAGATTTGATCCCCGGCTTTCCCTATGGTTTTCTGAGCCACCACATCTGTGCTCAGGGCTCACTCCTGGCAGGGGTCAGGGAAACTAAAAGGGGTGCCAGGGACTGAACCTGGTCAGCTGATACAAGGCTAGTAGATCTACCTACCTAAGATACTGTGGGGCTCTGGCCCCTAAACAATAAATTACAAAAATAAAATCACAGCAAAACTTATGTTAAATAAAATTTGTTTTTATTTGATATTCATATAAAATATTTGAAGCAGTGTATTATTAAATATAAAACAAGCTTTTTGCTAAAAAGCCACTTTCTTGGAGCCAGAGCAATAGCTTTGCAAGCTGTCAAACCAAGTTAGATCTCCAGCATCCAATATGGTCCCTGGAGCATCACCAGAGTAACTCCTGAGCATCACCACCTACTGTCCATAAACCCAAAAAGAACTAGTTCCTTGGGGTCCTGGGAGACAGTTCAAAGGTCTGGAGAGTAGGTATGGTAGGAGGTCTAGTTTAGACCCCTGGCACTATAGTCTCCTAAGTATTGCCAGCACTGAACACCACAATGTGTGGCCTTAAAACAAACAAACAACAATAACAACAACAAAAACCCTGCAACTATCAGTAACTTGGTAAACCATGGATCTTTAATAAAAATTAAATAAATTTAAAAAAAATACACTAAAAGCCACTATTTCAGTAATGACATTATTTATAACTAAAGGGGCTAAGGTATTTTTGACTATTTCCTTGCGCCCACTGCTCCATTTTTCTCTCCATAGCACTTACCACCTAATATACTTCTAAGCTTATTTTTAGTAAATTTATTGTTCCATCTTCCCCGCCCTTGATACAGGTTGTTCCCTTAAGGATCTGTTTTTCAAACAATATGTTTCACACTTTCTAAAAAGTGCAAATACGAGCTACAGAAAAATAACATACATATACATTAAAAAAAAGAAATCTTTCAAAGACCTAAGACCTATGCAAAAAGGTAGCAGCTGGAAAGATAGTACAGCAGGTAAGACATCTGCTTTGCATCTGCCCAAAGCAAGTTCAATTCCTGAGCATAGAACCAAGAGCAAGCCCTCAGTAGAGAGAGGTGTGCACCCCCCACCCAATAAAGGTTACAGGTCTAGTGATGGTTATGATTTGGGGGTGAGAAGAATAGAAAGGGCCCTAGTTAGACTCACTTCACCATAAAAAGAGGGTTCATTTATCTTCATTAGCAAGACTGCCTTCAAAAATGTGAAAGGAAGAACCAGTGAAATGACTCAAAGGACTTAAGCACAAGCTCTGTATTCAAGAATCCCAGGTTTGATTCCCATGACCCTATGACACCCCAAGCAAAATAACAAGCAAAAATTAAAAATAAAGACACTATAAGTTGTTAATACAATTAAGCTCTGCAGCTTAAGTCAAGTATCGCTTTTAGCAGGGGTATTCTTATAAAACTGTGGGTCAAATTCTTACTTTTCAAAAGTAGCACTACACTGTAGCACTGTCCTCCCGCTGTTCATGGATTTCTCAAGTGGACACCAGTAACATCTCCATCATGAGACTTGTTACTGTTTTTGGCATATCGAATACGCCACAGGGAGCTTGCCAGGCTCTGCCTGGCGGGCGGGATACTAGGATACATTTGGTAGCTTGCCGGGCTCTCCGAGAGGGACAGAGGAATCGAAATCGGGTCAGCCACGTGCAAGGCTAACATCCTACCCGCTGTACTATTGCTTTAGTAAATCAAATAAATAATGGGTCTAACATATTGGATCTGATTAGTCATAGCTAATAACTGTTACACATGAATGAAAATTCAACTCTAAATTCAAGCTATATATATATGAAAAAATACTATTTTTTATGTAGGAGTATTGCTGGGGCTGGAGCGCTAGTGGGAGGGCGTTTGCCTTGCACGCAGTCTGCCCGGCCAAGCCGGGTTCGATTCCTCCGCCCCTTTCGGAGTGCCCGGCAAGCTACCGAGAGTATCTCGCCCACATGGCAAAGCCTGGCAAGCTACCCGTGACGTATTCGATATGCCAAACATAGTAACAAGTCTCATGATGGAAACGTTACTGGGTGCGCTCTAGCAAATCAATGAACAACGGGAGGACAGTGCTACAGGAGTATTGCTATTTATTCAGCCATTGATCAGGCTGATTAAATTGGGAATGAACTCCACCTTCCTTTTTTCCCCTTTTTTATAATTTTATTTATTAAAATTCAAGCTACATTGTGATTTGACAACTGTCCGTAGCTCTAAGTGGATGTAGAAAATCATGGTGAGCCAGAGATCTACTGTAACAACTATTAAATACTGAATAAATTATTTTTAGAGATAAAGGAGGGATGTGAAAACATTAAGGACAAAATACAAAATAAAATTCCATTTCTTGCCTGATGCATCTGCAGATCTGGCCCAGAAAGAACTACAGACTTTTGCAAGGCTGGCATTAGGAAACAGAAACTGAAGGAGCCCCTGACACGTGACTGATTTGCTCCCACGACATTTCCTGAATTCTAAAGAGGAAACCAGAAGCGTCAGACAAGGATAATATTAAAAATAGAGTAAGGGGCTGGATCTACAGTACTGTGGTTAGAGCACTCACGGTGTACTTGTCCCTCAAGCCTCAGCAGGAGTGATTCCTGAGGGTAGGACCAAGAGTGGGTATGGCCCCCAGATAAACAGAGTAAATCTGAATCTTGCTAGGGAACTCCTTTCCTATACGGGATGAGTCCTGCTCTTTTCCTTTTTTTTCCTTTTAGGGTCACACCTGGTGATGCACAGGGGTTACTCCTGTCTCTGCACTCACAAATTACTCCTAGCGGTGCTTAGGAGACCGTATGAGATGTTGGGAATTGAACCTGGGTAGGCCGCGGGCAAGGCAAACGCCCTACCTGCTGTGCTATCGCTCCAGTCTCTCTTTTCTCTGTTCTTAAGTAAAACCTTCACCTGAATTCAGCAACCCTCCCCTCCAAGTTATAATTTTAAGAGTAAAATCTCTGTGAGGCGGTAATTAAGTTCCAGTGGAAGGAGGAACCAGCAACAGACATGTCTCATCTTCCTTAGAAGAAATCTGCCAGAATACAAGAGTGACAGATTAAGAGACTGAAGAACTAATTACAAGCCTGTTAGAACCATACAGAATCACCAGTGATAAGACAGAGATAACAGGGACTCTCGGGTATAAATGCCCTGTACCCACTAGGAGTGATAACCGAGCCCAAAGTCAGGAATAAGCCGAGAAACACTGGGTATGGTCCCAAAACTCAAACACAGACGAGGGTAACAGAAAATAATCAACCGCAAAATCAAAACCCTCAGAGGACCAGAACAGACAAATCAGGGTGGGGTTGCCTACTCCAACCTAGCTCAATCAATCTGCTCCTTCCAACCTCTTGAGGAAAGTTCAAATCTACTCCAGACATTAACTGCAAAATCACTTGCAGATTCTATGCTTCCTTTTCATGCAATGGACAGAAGAAAATCAAAACTTTTGTCCTAACAGAGGAAAAAACTAGAAATGTAAGGTGTAATATAGTAGAAAAAGCATTTTAAATTAAAAACATGTTAAAATTGAGGGCTGGTGACACAGCAACAGAACAGTAGCTCAAACCCAAGCAAGAAATCTTTGTCCCCACACAATCCTACCCTGCAAAAAAAAAAAAAAAAAAAAAAAAAAAAATTTTTTTTTTTTTTTTTGCTTTTTGGGTCACACCTAGCGATGCACAGGAGTTACTCCTGGTTCATGCACTCAGGAATTACTCCTGGCGGTGTTCGGGGGACCATATGGGATGCTGGGAATCGAACTTAGGTCAGCTGCGTGTGTGCTATTGCTCCAGCCCCATGCAAAAATATTTTTAGTTGACTAACAAATGTAACTGTTAGAGGAAAGAAAGCAGGAGCTCTTTCTTTTGTTCTAGGACTGATACTATATTACAAAGCACCCCTTTGTGGGTGAGCCATTATTGTGGGTAAGAAATCTGAGCTATTTGAAATGAAGAATTATACTAATTTAAATGAACTAAGAGCATATTATATATAAAGAAGTCTATGATGGTTCAAGGAGATGGCTCAGTATTTTCCATGCTGGAGCCCCAGGTTTTGGTGGTTTTTTTGTTTGTCTTTTTGCTTGTTGGGTCATACCCGGTAATGCACAGGGGTTACTCCTGGCTCATGCACTAAGGAATTACTCCTGGCAATGCTGGGGTGACCATATGGTATACTAGGAATTGAACCCGGGTCGGCCCCATGCAAGGCAAATGCCCTACCCGCTGTGCTATCACTCCAGCCTCTGGAGCCCCAGGTTTGATCCCTGATATCACACAGTGCTCCAATAACAGCCAGTTGTGGGTCCAAACCAAAATAAGACAACCTGCAGCCTCTTCCTACAAAAAAACTCTTTACCTAACAGAAGACACTGGTAATATAAGCTCTATGTTCATCCATCTATCTTGCTAGAAACTCAATAATCATGTTAAGAACCAACTACTAGAAATACAAAGTAACCGATAGTGATATTTCCACAGGAAAATTATACAATAGAAGAATCTTTCTATTGAGTAGATTCCCTTTGCATACTCAGTGATAAACTACATCTTTAAATCTTGTTAAGAAATACACTAGGACTAGGGAGATAACTCAAAGGGCCGGAGCGCAAGTGCACGTGTGTGTGTGTGTGTGTGTGTGTGTGTGTGTGTGTGTGTGTGAGAGAGAGAGAGAGAAGAGAAGAAAAGAGAAGAAAAGAGAGAGAGAGAGAGAGAGAGAGAGAGAGAGAGAGAGAGAAAGGGCTGGAGTGCAAGTGTGTGTGTGTGCGTGTATGTGTCAAAGGGCTGGAGTGCAAGCATGTGTGTGTGCGTGTTGGGAGGGGTAGACCTAGGTTTGATCCCTGGCATTGCTTGGTCCCCTGAGCACCACCAGAAGTGACAAAAACAGAAGGAAAGGGAAAAGGAAGAGGAAGAAATAAAGGGCAGATTGAGAATGTAATCCAGTGATAAAGCACATGCCTTGCCTTGTGTGAGGTTCTAGGTTCCATCCTGGCACCAAAAATGGGAAAAAAAAATAAGGATACCAAAATGCATCACTGAAATAAATTAAAGTCATCCAGCCATTTTTCTTTTTCACTATATTTTTAGGGGTATTTTTACATCGACTAGCCAAATAATTTGAAAAAGAAGATAAACAAAAATACTAGAATACCGTGAAAAACAGAATTCTAATTGTTTCTTCAGACATTCTTTTAAGTCTTCTGTAGAAATTGCTGAACTGCTTTCTCCTGGTGGTAGAAAATAACAGGAAAAGGTTAATATCTAGTTAGCAAAGTGGCACACTTTATATATCATTATACTCAAATGTCAGAAAATATCCACATACTAAAATTCACCATAAAATAACATGGATTTAATTCCCATTAGAATCCAGATAGCTATAAAGGTAGAATCATATTCAATTCCAGATACTAGAATCTGGGTAGAATCTAGATCTAATTTCTTGTAACTATGTTTCTTTAGCTAGATTTCTCATCAGTTTAAAAACTACCAACTAACAAATGCATCATTACTGCCAAAAGTACTTAGTTATTTTGCAAGATACTTTTTTTTTGGGGGGGGGGGGCTTTTTTGGGTCATACCCGGCGATGCACAGGAGTTACTCCTGGTTCATGCACTCAGAAATCACTCCTGGCGGTGCTCGGGGGACCATATGGGATGCTGGGAATCGAACCTGGGTCGGCTGTGTGCAAGCCCTACCCACTGTGCTATTGCTCCAGCCCCTGCAAGATACATTTTAACCACTAAAGTGAAATATGTGGTAAATGATTAATGAAAGAATATTAAATAAAATATTAAATATTAAAAATACAAATGTGTTATTAAATCTGAATTTGAAGAAGGAGCTAAGAAGAATTGTACATTTATTTACATATGTATTGTTGGCATTTGGTAGTAAGTGCACTCCTTAAAACTTCTTTCAGTAATATTCCTTTTCATTCCCTGATTTAGGCATTGTATCTTAATAGGTATGTTTAAGTCATTCAAAAATCTAAAGAACCAGATTAACTCATCTGATGTATTCGATACGCCAAACACAGTAACAAGTCTCACAATGGAGACATCACTGGGCCCGCTTGAGCAAATCGATGAACAACGGGAGGACAGTGACAGTGAGAGTGATTTTCAAAGCCATTTAATAATAGTCGATAAATGGGGCTGGAGAGATAGTACAGGAAGGAGTTCAAGTGCTTGCCCCGTATGCTGCCAACAATAATCTGATCCCCAGCACCGCTTGGTTCCCTGAACACCCATCAGGTAAGATGTCTTGTCAAGTTTGATTCCAGGCACCACATATGGTTCCCCAAACCCTATCAGAAGTGGTCCCTGAGCACAGAGACTGACACTATCCTTGAACAGTCAGATATGACCCCCCAAAAAAGGAAAAAAAAAATTCAATATGCAGAAGACAAAATATAGGGTTTTTTTTTTTTGCATTTTGGGTCACACCCGGCGATGCTCAGGGGTTACTCCTGGCTCTGCACTCAGGAATCACTCCTGGCGGTGCTGGGGGCACCATATGGGATACTGGGAATTGATCCCGGGTCGGCCGCGTGCAAGGCAAGTGCCCTAACCACTGTGCTATCGCTCCAGCCCCACATAGAGGTTTTTAAGAAGTAAATTTTGGGCATGATCTTACCACAATCTTTTCTAAGCACTTGTGAGTAAACAATTATATTAGACATCAACTTCATTAAAACAAATACTTTGTAAGGTAGGACACTAACTTTAATCCCTAGCAATAAAAGTTCCCCAAGAACCACCAAGCAGTCACAGAACACTACTGGTATGGTCCAAAACAATAAAATAAAATAAAAGCAATCTAGAGTTGGAAAGACAGTTCAAAGGGCTAACAATGCATCCTTTGCATGTAGGAGCCCCCTTTCAATCCTTTGCACCTTGAGCACAGCAAAGTCAGAGTAGCCTTTTTAACAAACCCCTCCAAAGAAGTGTTCTATTCCTTTGCAATCCTAACAAAAAATTCACCTACTGAAGTCCTGGCTATAAGAAACTTAAACTTACTGGAATACCAACTGGCTGCTTAATTGCTCTTTGGGTCACACCCGGCATGCACTGGGAACTTAGCTCAAGAAGTTCAAGGAAATGCTTTGCATGCAAAAACTTGGCTCCAGTGCTCCATGGTTCCCCAAGAACAGCTAGATGTGCACCCAAAATGAAAAACACACCCAATGCCGTTCAAATAAAAGAATGGCTAGGTAGATTATGACCTCAAGTAGAGAAAAGAGCCTCTGCCTTATACAATTATACGAAACTACAGCCCACTTCCCTTTTAAAATAATAGATCCTAGAAATCCTAACTTAGGTATTTATAATAAACACGGAAAATAAGGGCAAATGCTTATAAATCCTCATTGAAGTTCCAAAGTTAAGCCGTAGGGGCTAGAGATAGCTCTAAGGGCTGGAGTACATGTTTTGCACACAGAAGCACTTGATCACCAGCACTGCATGGTCCCAAGAATAGGCCGGAGTAATCCCTCAGCAGAGCTAGCACACCATTAAAAAAAAAAACAAAAATAACAAACTAAGCTCTATTTCCTATTACACTTGTTGTCCAAAAAATCCTTTAGAAAAATTAGATATAATCAAGGCCTGTGGTTCAAGCTCACATAGAAGGCTGGAGCAATAGCACAGCGGGCAGGGTGTTTGCCTTGCACGCAGCTGACTCAGGTTTGATCCCAGGTATCCATATGGTCACTCAAGCACCAAGAGCAGTAATTCCTGAGTGCAGAGCCAGGAGTAATCCCTGGGCAATGCCAGGTATGGCCCAAAACTAAGATTTGGGGAGGATGGGAGGGAGAAAATTTAGGTCTCTTCAAACTGTTGTTTCTCTTTATTTTTGATACTTTTCCTTATTAAGAGCTTTAAAATGAAAATAATTATAATTTTCTGTTTCGTCTTCTGAAAATAGTATTTTTATAAGTTTTTCCAAATAAGAAAATAGAATGATCAGTGAGTGATGTTTATTAGAATGTTAGAGAGACTTTAGCAGAAAAAAATCTAGCATAGTGAATTCTAAATTTATTAATAAAATCAGAAAGTTTACCAGAAACATCATATATTTGGTAACTCAGATCTTCTGGCCCTAAAATCATTCCATCAGTTGATTCTTCAATGCCTGTAGTATTTCTTGTGGTTTCACAAGATGAATACATTACTTCATAGTCCTTACATATATCATCTGAAAGTTCTGTACTGCCTGTATTTAAAAAAACAATAAAAAATAAAAATAAATAGGCATTCTTTAAACCTGAGCACTGCCTTTCATAATAAGATCTCAAAGAATCCTACCAGGTGGGAAAATGCCCACATTATAAGGGGGCAAGTTTGGTCACAATGAAAAAGGCAAAATGACTAACAACACTTACAGCTAGTACTATCAAACAATTCCGTACACTTTTAGTTAATTCTCAGAAAAGTGCTATGTCATGTGTTTACTTTGGCAGCACACACTAAAACTAGAATAATACAAAGATTAGAATGCCTCCTGCTCAAGAACAGCAGGTGAATTTTAAAAAGGAGAAAAGTCCATGCCAAAGTCATAGTTACTGATATTTTATAGCTGAAGAAATCTGCAAGTAGTCATTTGCCCAAAATCAGTGAGGAAACAGCACCGCCAATGATAAAAACAAACAAACAAAAAAAAAAACCCAAAACAACAACAACAAAAAAACCCCTAACTTTAAAATGCATATTTTAAATGAATCAAATGTTGGGTCTAACTACTTGAAATCCATAATCTATTCACAGTGGATATAAATACTACATAAATAATATATAAAGAGTAATAAAGATACATCAAATAATCTGGGTGGAGTGAGAGTCAGTGGGTAGGGCGTTTGCCTTGCACAAGGCCAACCCAGGTTGATTCCTCTGTCCCAAGGAGAGTATCCCGCCCGCACAGCAGATCCTGGCAAGCTCTCTGTGGCGTATTGGATGTGCCAAAAACAGTAACTAAGTTTCACAATGGAGATGTTACTGGTGCCCACTTGAACAAATCAATGAAGAACAGGAGGACAGTGCTACAGTGCTACATCAAATAATCTAAGAACTTGCCCAACTTGTCTGGACATACTTAAAATGAAATTGTGATCCCTTCTATTTGTTCAAGTTTTTTGGTTTTTGTGTCACACCTAGCATGTTGATTACTCCCGGTGTTGCTCAAGGGACCATGCAGTACCAAGGATCAAGTCCAGGCCTGCTGCATGCAAAGCATGCACTAAGCTCATTGAGCTGTATCTCCCTCGTCCAAAATGTGACTGGTTCTGATGAAACATTTAGGACTTACCCTCAGGATGAGAACCTGATGAGGCTGCTGTTTCAGGCCAAGAACTTTCAGTTCCATGAGTTACCGAAGAGGCATCAGTATTTCCTGGAGGAATTTCCTGCCAAACTTTGGCATTAGGATTTAAACCAGTTCCTTTAGATGTTACCTGCTATTAAAAAAAAAAAAACTATTTATAAATCTTAAAAGACACTACATTTTAATGAAAATTAGACGGGATTAGAGCAACAGTACTGCGGCAGGGCGTTTGCCTTGCATGCGACCAACCCAGGTTCAATCCCCAGCACCCCATCATCCCATATGGTCCCCTGAGCACCACCAGGAGTAACTCCTTAGTGCAGAGCCAGGAGTATACAAATTGAAAATCTTTTTAAGCCGATGAACTTCAAACATTTACAGATACATAAAATTTAGTTAATCCGGTGGTGGCAGGAGATTCACACAAGGGCTAAGGCATTTGCCTTGCACTGCATATGGTCCTGATTCCTGCCAGGAGTGTTCCCTGAACAGAAAACCAGGAAATAAGCCCTGAGCACTACCAGATGTGGCCCCCAAACAAAATTTTAAAAATTTTAAATAAGCTATCTATATACAAGCATCTATTAAACACTAGTAACACAGAACTAGCCCTCTGTTAAATCTACTTAGAAATCACTTTTTTTTTTTTTTTTGCTTTTTGGGTCACACCTGGCGATGCACGGGGTTACTCCTGGCTCTGCACTCAGGTGTTACTCCTGGTAGTGCTCAGGGGACCATATGGGATGCTGGGAATTGAAGCCCAGTCGGCTGCGTGCAAGGCAAACACCCTACCCGCTGTGCTATCACTCCAGCCCCATATTTTTTTCTCTTAAAGTACCTGATAATGGTTGAGTTTGTATGTTCAAGACAAATGATGCAAGTGTACCTAGATAACTTCCCATGTTATAAAATACACAACTTTCATTGCCGTCTAAACTACGAAAGCTAGCTCATACACGGAGGGTCAGAGATGGCTCAACGGGCTGACTGCCACATGGGATGCCCAAGCTGAATCTCCAACACCATATGGGAACACAGAGCTATGAGTAGCCCCTAAGCACTACGTGGTGTGAGCCCCAAACCCAAAATAAATAATAAACAAACAGAGCTTTAATTCTGAATTATTCTATCAATGCTAGAACATTTCCCCCAAACCCAGCAATCTGGAAGGGCATTCCCGTTTATCTTGAAATTGCACATTAAGTCTGCAAAATAATGTACTGTCATCTAATGTGATCTTTTGGTCACACCATGTAATCGCTGACACAAGAAATGAAACGCAGAAATGAGCTGTAATGAAGCTGGGGGAAAGAGTATTTAAAAGTTGGGAGAAAAGTGGTAAGCACAAAAACATGCCTTTTTTTCCTAATTTAATGAACAGAACTTGATCCTTCTCAAAAATGACTAACCTTTCCAAAGTCTGCTTCCAAGTCAGAGAGACACCTCAACAAACAAGAGCACATGCTTTGCATATATGAAGCTCAAATCTGATCCTTGGCACTGCCCGGTCCTCCCAGGCTAATCACTGAGTTAGAAGTAACCTGAGTTCCCCAGGGTGTGGCACAAAAGCAAAAATAAATCTTTTACATGAAAGTAACGTAGATGCTTTCCCAAAAGCTACTTTTAACTGTCTTCTGTCTAAAGCCCTTCCTCTGAAAAGTGGTTCCAAAGTGCATGAAATAAATTACCTTAGCTTGCGTCCTTCAGAAACTGGGAGTTCAGCTTTCATGAGAAACAAACTGCATGTTTTTGAGGGGCAGCAAAAATTCTTATGACTGACTCTGATTCACAGTTGAAAGTAAAATGGAAGATGGAGAGATAGTACAGGGGGCATGGCACACTTATTTCCACACAGCAGATCCCAATTCAATCCCCCACCCCAGTGTCCTCCAAGACCCACTCAAAATAAAAATATTGGCCATTATCGCCAAAATTGACGAACCAAAGAACGATTCTCATTAGGAAGAACCACAAGGAGCGGCTGAGAAGATCTGGCTTCAGAGAGGCCTTAGCTAAATTATAATGAAATCCTCCTCTACCTTTCTAATGAAACATACTATACAAACAACAAACTGTGTGTGTATGGGTCTGTGAACTAATAATACAACATTGTTTAATATATTCTATAGCCTGCAGTGGATTTTTCCCCCCGTTTTTTTGGATAGCTTCTTTCGATCAATGAAACCAAATTTGGGGGAAAAAAGAGAGGGCTCAATGTTGTTTTACATGTCAAGTTATCTTCACACCTTGAAGCAAATATCAGGTGTTGAAATGGTGATATGCTGCTCATCCCTCACAGTATTTAGAATTTTCCAGTTTTATGATAGTAACTAACAAGCATCTGTTAGAAAAAGTTTGGAGAGGGGCCCACTAAACTTTTGGTAAACAGGGCACTGAGTTCACTGCAAGGGAGCTTGTAAAAGGATGCGATGCTGCTCAGACCCGGCAGTGCAGGAACGAGCCCAGGAACACACCCAGCAAATTGCAAGGACCACGTAGTGCTGCACATTCAATCTAGATGGTGGTGCTATCTCCTGATCCATTTAGTCCACTTTATTGTTTATCTTTTCTTCTTCTTTTTCCTCCCCCCACCCCCACATGCCACATGCTGGGGAACCATATGAACAGCTGTGGATCAAACCAGGGTCAGCGGCATGGAAGGAAAGCACCTTAACCCTGTACTATCTTTCCAGCCCCTCATTTGAAAAAATTTTCCACAAGTTAATACATCTGTTCTTGGGGCGCTGGAGCGATAGTACAACGGGTAGGGTGTTTGATTTGTATGTGGTCGACCCGGGTTCGATCCCCAGCATCCCATATGGTCCTCCAAGCACTGCCAGTAGTAATTACTGAGTACAGAGCCAGGAGTAACCCCTGTGCACTGCTGGGTGTGACCCAAAAAGCAAAAAAAAAAAAAAAAAAAACAAAAAAAAACAAAAAAACACCTGTTCTACTTGCACCGGATTAGTAGTATTCCCACAACCTGCCTTCAAATCTGAACAGATTAAATGTGATTTAGAGGGGGGCTGGAGCAATAGCACGGTGGGTAGGGCGTTTGCCTTGCACGCGGCCAACCCGGGTTCGATTCCCAGCATCCCATATGGTACCCTGAGCACTGCCAGGGGTAATTCCTGAGCTCAGAGCCAGGAGGAACTCCTGTGCATTGCCGGGTGTGACCCAAAAAGCAAAAAAAAAAAAAAAAAAAAAGTGATTTAGAAATATAGATACAGCTTAATTTTTGAGACATCAGGGGAGAAATTTTTTTTTTTAATTTTTATTAGTGAGACACCATGAGGTACATTTGCAGACTTTCATATTTTGTGCTTGGTTTCAATTATACAATGATCAAATACCCATCCCTCCACCAGTGCCCATTTCCCACCACCACAGATCCCAGTATCCCTCCCACCCCCCATCCCCCCCACCCCACCCTGCCTCTGTGGCAGGGCATTCCCCTCTGTTCTCTCTCTCCTTTTGGGTGTTGTGGTTTGCAAAAGAGGCATTGAGTGGCAATCATGTTTGGTCTACAGACTATAGTCTACTTTCAGCATGGTTCTCCCATCCTGGGAGGATCCTCCCAACACCCTTTATTTGGTGCTCCCTTCTCTATCTGAGCTGCCTTTTCCCCTAGCATGTGTGGCTGGCCTCCAAGCCATGGAGCAAAATTCCTGGTACTAATCTCGGCCATTCTTGGGTGTTAGTCTCCTATTTTGTTACATTATGTTCCCAGGGGGAGAAATCTTTGAAGAACGTTTAAGTCTAGTTTTTAATCTGGCATTAAATACTTTTAATAGAAGAAAATTTTTAAATTTACATACTCATTCTTGCCCTTCCTCAATTCTGAGAATACAAGATATATCCTTGCCCAGCAAAAGGAAAAATAAAAATTACGTTTCTCAGAAAGAGAAATCTAACTTCTGGGTTATTGATAAACACAATATGACAAGTATCAAATTCACTTAAGTGTAACATATACAGAAAAAGACCACATATTCTACAGAAAGTAACCTTGACTTTAAAATAACTGTCATTTGAAGCTAAAAACATCTTTAAGAATGAAATAGCACTGACCATGCAAGTCGAAGCAAATATAAACAAATGGGACTACATCAAACTAAGAAGCTTCTGCACTTCAAAAGAAACAGTGACCAAAATAAAGAAAAGGCCCACAGAAAGGGAAAGAATATTTATCCAATACCCATCTGATAAGGGATTAATATCCAGTATATACAAGACACTAGTAGAGTTGTACAAGAAAAAGACCACTAACCCCATCAAAAAATGGGGAGAAGAAATGAACAGAAGTTCCCTCAAAAAAGAAATACAGGGGGTATGGTGCCACCAGCAGGTCAATCTGCACCTGTGAGGCAAGTGCATCAGCAGCCTGACGGTGCCTTCAGACTTCCAGATACCCCAAAATTGCTGTTGTGCCTTTGGCCAGACCCCAAAAACTTGGGGCAAAGTTTACCAAGAAAGTAAACGGCCAAAAAGTTAGGTATGTGGGAGACACACCCACAAACCACCTCCGGCTCAGCTATATAATTGGAGGAATGGCCTCTCTGGTTCCTGATCAAACTGCTTAACGGCCATGATCCCAGAGACTCAGAAAGGAATCTCGGAACCCAAAGGCTTTTGGCAGAAATGTGTCCTGTTCCTGCAGTAGGTTACTGGCGCTGAGCCATTCCAGGTGGGAATAGGTTTTGTGCCTTGGCCTGTTCCCCCTGGTGGCCCGGTGACTGCCATCCTCCAGAGGCCACAGGACAGTCAGGTTTGGGCCTTTAGTGACAAGACATGCAGGGCCTCACCAGATGGGGGTGAAACCGGCCCTTTCCTCCCCACCCAGTGAGACCCCAAGTCGCTGCCTACAAACAGCCCCTCTGGCTCCTGATTAAGCAAATTAATGGCCATGATCCCAGAGACTCAGAAACAAATCTCAAAACCCAGCAGCTTTTGGCAGAAATGCATCTGGACCGCATACAAGGTGGCAGCCGCCTCAGAGCTTATTGGAAAGCCAGGTATGAGCTAGCGGTGACGGGGCAACTGCAGTCTCATGGGAAGGGGGATAGTACTGGCTCGTCCTTCTCGCCCTACCGAGGTCACGAGTTGCCCCCCCACAAGCAGCTCTCTGGCATG